ATTTCCGGCGCCCGAGGAGATCGGGGGGATGTTTGCTTCGTCAACTCTCCGGAGGGATCCGTGTCTCGCATGAAACCGGCCGATCGTGCGGCCGTTCTTAGGCGTGATCTCGCCGAGTTGCGGATATACCGCGCGTTGATTGTTCTTCTTACTTCCCCGTTGTGTGTGTTTCCAGCGTGTGTATGTGTATGTTTTCCTTGCCGTGTTCGTGTATGCATCAGTCCTTAGATTTCTCCTAACGATATCCACGGCGCCCGACCGACCGGAAATGCAGCGTCGCAGGCTCGAGACTCGACCGCGAGATTCGAATTCGAACGCCACTCGAGCCACCGGAAATGCCCGATAATTGGGCTCTCTGAATTTCTTCGAGTGAAACTCCAGCCGGAAAACCGGTCGAGTCACGGTCGAGTGGATGTTTTACTCGCGGAGAGCGAATTCTCGCATCGCGAATCGTCGCGAGTGAATATCCCTGCTTGACAATTTTTCCCCGCTCCAACCGAGTTCTGCGTTCTTATTTCTTATTTAAAATCGAAGAGAACTGTGCGACATATTCCATCCCTGACTGGAGCAAGTTCACACAATTATACACAGGCAAAAATAGTAATAACGATAATAATATTTACTTTCTCAGTTAATTGTAATATTTTCGTACTCGCTCGTGCAAAACGGAAACCCCCTTTTTTTCCCCCGGATGCTCAATAAACAAACGCACAGAATCACCCGAATGAAATTCACCCTCTGATCGAGTTCAACGTCCCCGCCGGTGTGAATTAAAAATCCACTCGACAACAATTTGCGGGTCCCGAAACACTCGCTCTTCGAGGTTCCCGAGCGGCTCGANGAGCGAGATTTCCCCCCCCCCCCCCTGCTCCCCCTCCGGCGAATTTGGAGAGCAACGATCCGGCGGCGGAGAAAATCATCCATCTGTCGCGCGGGCGGCGGCGACTACGCGCGCAGCCGAGGTTACGCAAGCGCGCTGGAACGGAGATACGGCGGGTGCGGGACGCGCGCGTCAGGTGTTCTCGCGGATATAAATCCGCGGGATGAAGAGTCACGAGGGACCGAAGGATAATAATAAAAGAAGTCTCGGGCAAGGCGATCCCCGGGGCTCGCGCGAGAGAACGGAGACCGCGCCGGTTGCTGATGCCGGCACGTATATTCGACGCGCTCGTCGATATTCAATATGCACCTTCCGACTCGCTCGAATTGTGTCATCGAGAGACAGCGCTGAGAGAAGCGTGCCCCCTCGCGCTTCTTCCTGCCGAAGGAGCCCCCTCGAGGGAGACTCGGGGCCCGGGTCGAGGGTGCGTCCCGCGGAAACTCGCTACCGACTCGGCGACGCTGGTAACGGCGGTGATGCTGGGTAGTGGCGGTGGTGGTGATGACGAATGATTATCGGCCGGCTCGAGAACGAGTGCAGATGCGACGGACTATATCGTCGAAAAATGGCACCTAGTTACGCAAGCGAATGTATCTAACGAGAAACGGCAGTGCTCGGTATTTGGTATTATATTCTCTTACGACGGAGACGGCACGCACACAGGGACCAGGCATACATGCGCATCCACACACGGACATACCGCATACACACGCGCAACACACACACACATATATGCATACGTACGACACGCAGCGACGACGACAAACGCAGCCCGCGAGGAGCCGAGAAGCGCGTTCGGCCGGCGCGATTCCGGGCGAAATTCCCCGCGAACGGTTCTCGCTTCCCGCCTGTTTTTCCTTCTCCCGGGTCGAGCTAAGTCGGTGCGAGAGGTCCGCCGAGAGGTGTCTTCGCTTCCGAGCTCCGTTTCCCAAACCGGGGTGTTACCCGATCGGTGAGGAGGTGGAGGGAAGTTTCTTAATCCTCTCTTCTAGTAAAAGGAGAGTTCGAATCGCCCGAGGAGGAGACCCGTTCGGCTTCCCTCTCGGACGGACGGGTAGTCGATATTCGCCGAAGAAAGACGCGTGTAACTTGCCGAAGAGTCGAGCTTCCGGAAAAAGAGATTCGTTTAACGCAGCAGTTTTTCGAAGAAAAACCCAAAAAATCGTCCCACGCGCTTCTTTCATTCGCACGGAGGATCTCGGAGGATCTCGAAGAGGACGCGATTTTCTTTCGCTCTAAGTGATATATTGTGACGGCATATCCGCCCGATACTCGCTTATCGCTTGTCGTCTCGCAAATCCCCAAAAGGACAGATAGGCCTAAATAATTTTGAATACATATTCGCCCCGTACGAGTATTAACAATTAAGCGACGCAGAGGAATCTCTCTCCCGAATATTTTTCTTTTTAAATAATTCTCTTCTTACAATATCTTTTTTCAAACTTGAGGGAAAGAAAGAGGAAACTTTCGGAGAAGGTGGCTGAGAAACGGACTCCGCTCGGATTGGTATAAATGAAACCCGAAATGTCGCGTAATTGCAAGACGAACGCAACTTCTCGCACCGAGATAAGGCTTCCCTGCCTGCGCTCTCTGCTTCTTTTACTTTTTTCTTTCTCTGCGTTCAATAATATATATATATATATATATTATATACGTATAATATATGTATTCTTGGCTGACGATTTCACTCTCGATTGTCTGACGTGTAATTAGCCATGTGTAATTAGCGCTCGCGCTCGCGACGGTGACCGGAACGACTTGACGCGGCGGCGGGGGACGACAGGCCGTAAAAGGCGACGGCGAGGGTGCGAAAGAAACGAAGAGGGCGAGACTGACGTGAGGGCTGGGAGGGGGGAGGAGGACTGACGAAGAGGTTTATCAGTAGCGCACGACGAAGCTACTTCCGCTCATCGCCGATGATAATTTATTCATTGGACGTTGTTCCCGAAGTGGATCTACGTGTGGGACTTGAACTTGGGACGCCGAACTTCGTCCACAGCACAACGCAGGATAATAACTTCGATTTTAATTCAATTTTAATTCCCCGTAAAATATACGCGCACGCGCGCGTCGCTCGCCTTCCCTCCCTTCGCCCCTCCTCCCTCCCTCCTTCTTGCGGATTAGAAGAAAAATTGGCGGTGTTTTCTCCAAGTCCGAAATCACTTCTTCAAACTCAAAAATAATAGAACTGCCGTGAGCAGGGGGTGAGAATGACAGAATCTGACGGTGACTTAGGGTAAATCGCTCGGTAATTTTAGAAAGCTGATAAAATGGTGGATCCGGAAGAAACTTACGGAGATGAGAAATTTGGGTGTGAAGTTCAGAAGAAGCATTTAGCCTCTGAGAACGCAAAGAGTTGCGTAAAAGAGCGGTAGTTCAATAGTATATTGAGAAGCGGAAACTTTAATACGCACGATAAATTGTAGTTTCCTTCCTTTGATCTGAAAGGCGTTTCAGAGATTATTTCATGAGAACATAAGAAGAAGAATATTGTTTCACCTAAACGCATTAGTGCGGAAAACATGAATACAGACTACTTGTGCGTGAAACTGCCTACCAAACCCAACGAATCGCGACGAAAGTTACCGGTAAATTACCATCTTGCTCCATGATTTTACCGTAAGTAATCGTCGCGATCTGAAAGAGAAGATTCGAACCGACTCTACATGAGTAGACGAGTGCGGAACGCGAAGTGAAACACTTTCGGACGCGAGATCGCTTTCGGGAAAGTCAATCAAGCGTCTGACGATGTACCCGAGAGCGAGAGTTAATTACTCCCTTTCTCAATCATTCCCTCCCTCTCTCCGGGCGAGAGAGGGGCCGGATATCTCGGCACGTAGACGCGGCGTCTTCGAGGATGCCTCTGCTGACGTGATCGAATCGACGGCGAGCATGTAAGACGAGTATTCTCGATTCGGGAAATCCTCGTAAAATCGGTTCAATCGCCGTAAAACTCGTTACGACATTAAACAGAAGGGAAGACGCGATAAGGCGCAGCGGGTAGGTGCGAATAGGTAGGTAGGTCGCCGGTAAAGTGGCGAAAGCGGGAAAGGGAAGAAAAAAGCTCTCGGAGAAGAGACGCTACGAGAGGCGGGCGGGAAGGGCGGAGGACGAAGGGTTTCGCGCGCGTCTCACGAAGCGGATTTAACTTTAGCTCGCTTCCGAGCTTACACACCGGCACGTCGACATCGATCCCTCGGCGCTTCGCGTGGAATTCAGACTCGGTCGATCATTACCATTCGTCCCCGTCGTTTCCCACGGGCGGCGATGAGTCGTCGAAATTTATGCGATATCCGGAAAAAGCGGCCGACGAGCCGAAAAATCCAACGAGCGTCGCGCGTCACCCACGACCGCCCGGGCGGAAGTCGATTTTCACCACCTTCCGGGAAAATGGGGAGGGAAAAACCGTGAGAGGGGGAAGGGAGCGCACGTCGCGGGTGCATCGAAAGTACGTCGAGTCGATCTGTCGGTTCGGTTGTTTAACGTGAAATTACCAATGCCTGAACACACATTTGACGGTAGTCGGACGTGTTTTTACGCCGGGAGTTTGCGTTTGCTAAGGGCCATTGGAGTGATTATTGCATTTGGATCGAGTAAAGATAACTTGAATGTAGCAAATTTTGCTTTTCGGTGATATTTATTTAATTCGAGCAAAATAATTATTCTCGAATACTCCTCGGAAAATGTTTATCTAAATGTGGCAATTTTCTCTTTCGGTGTATTATTTCGGTCTTCTTTAAATACGAAAACCTCAATCCAGAATATAAAATACATGTATATGTTCGATATATATGTATGTATTCTGTGTTGAAAGTTTAAATATTCGGATTTAACGCGTATGCAACACAACGATCTCTCACGAGAGACACAACGAAAAACACTTTGTACTCGTGTTAAAATCGATCCTTGTTAAAATTTCCATGCCATTTTTCACACACCCGTGTGTTGATTTAACATGACGCGTTTATGTTATTACGATATTTTATACCAAGTCGATATCGAAAGTGTAAGTGTTAAAATAACACTTGTAGACGTAAATATAACACATTTTATACTTCTCGGTGTCGATTAACGTATTATGGATATTAATTGTGCGTTAATTTCCGACATAATATTTGCGTTACTTCTCAACACATTCACTTTGTGTTAAATCAACGAAAAAATTTGCGCGGGCCGTTCGGGACGCGCGTCGAATGAAAAATTTCTCGTTGTGCGTTTCTCGTCACAGCGCGTGTGATGACAGCGAGAAATTTCCCTCGCGTCTCCGCAATATCCAGCCAATGTCTGTTCCACACAATTACGTAAAAATCACTACAAGATGGTTTGTGGGAAGCGTGGGAAGTCCTTTAAAACAACCAATTAAGGACCTAACGGGTTAAAGACGGAAACAAGAAGAGTTAGTGTCCAGAGTCATGTGCGCGCGTCCAGGCATCGGTGGGTCCGCCTCGAGTGCACACATCCACACACGCACACACGCAACACGCACGCACACATGCACGCAGCCAGGCAGCCAGCCACCCACGCGATAGTCCACTCGTCTCTCTCACACGGCCGTTTCGTTTTTCTATTAACGTGTACATCATCATCCCATTCACGCGCCGGGGGACACCTGGAGGCCGGGATCGCCGGCCACCCTCCTCGTGTCTTCGGCTCGCACGCGTAGCAGCCGCTTCTACGTGAACAACGGCGGAACGACGATGACGAACAGGAACGGCAATAAGGAGACCACGAGGACGCTACTGGTGGCCTCGGCCGACGAGCTGAACCAGTTCGAGCCGGACAGCCCGGCACGGGCTTTCTCGAGATGGCTGGAGGGCTGCTCGGATGCCATCAGTTCGTGTGTATGCTTCACGCACGGCAGGTCCTCAGTCTTCATGGACAGCAGCCGCTTCGTGTAGCACACCTTGCCGTCGCAGTCGGCCTGCGCATCAAAACGGCCGCGCGGCCGGTTGGCGATGTCCTTGTTCTACGCGATCTGATTCGAGACGCCGACGAGATCTCGCCCCCCGACATCCCGGACGAGCTCCGACAGGCGACCGGCACCCCGGAGAGTCGCTTTTCCCGGCTTAGAAACGCCACGACGCGAAATCGCCCGTTCCCGGCTTTGTCCCGGTCTGTCCGCGATACCCTCCCGAGGAAGATCATTCAACTTGTTACGAAATTGCGGATCAACGACCGAATTTTTCGGATTCATTTGCAAACGTTCAGTTCTCAATTTCAAAATATAGATCGTGAACAAAGTTACCGTACAAAGTGTAAATCGGGAGCCGCAATATCACCCTTTTCTCTAATGAAATCATCTTTCCTCGATAAAGAAAAAACGAAAGAAAGAAAAACAATCGCCATCTGTTAACTTTTGACTAGTACTATTTGTGTTACTTCTTAACATAATCATTGTGTGAAGTGAAAAATTAACGCCAAAATTTGAGCGGGCCGTTCAGCACATGGGAAATGTGTCGGATTCAATACACAATTTCTCATTGTGCACTTTTTACCCATCGTCCTTTCTTCCGGATAAATTTTACGATACCGTCTCGCTGCGACAGCTCGGGCTGGAGCGCGCGAAGGGGGGTTCTTTTTTTCTTTTTTTTAATTCGAACGAGCGCGCCCGGCGTTTCTCCCTCGATTTTTGCCTCGTCGGATCAACCAATCGACCCCACACCGTCGCCGCGTAGGATGCGCGCGAACCGAAGCCGATATCGCGTTAAGTAGGTGCGTTAAGATTCCGTGTCGATTGCGGCGCGTCCGCGAAACGCGCGAGCCAAAAGGGTGGCGTGACCGACCGGGGTGTAAATCAGGCCCTCGATCGATTAACCTTCCGATCGGGGCGCGCTGGGGGTGGGCCACTTGAGAAAGTTAATGCCGGAATAAAGGGGCAGAGGAGCGCGATCGCAGTCCGCTCGCCTTCGTGTCGAGATCGATTACTGATACAATTAGGCGAATACGGCGGCGGGGCGTCGTTTGAATTAGTTCGATCCGCGAGAACGCGTCTAATCAGCGAGGCTGGAATATTTATGAAGGATCAATTCGCGGACGGTTATCGCCGGGAAAAGTTTCATAACAGCGCCGGCGCGCGGGTAAGACGTATCGGGCGATCTTAATCCGAATTTATAGTCGGCCGGCGAAATTAAAGTCGCGACTTGTTCCTTGTCTTGAGTGTGACGAGATGACCGATCGGTCGAGCTCTCGGAAAAATTGCGAGATCTCGTCCGCGAGAGGGAGATCCCTCTCGCTCGGCGGCTACGAATCAGAGTAATCGCGGCGATAAACGGAGAAACGCTGGTCTTACCTTGACGCCGACTTTCGGCAGAGGCGCGTCAATCTCGGGCTCGTCGATATTCTCGCGCTCGTCCTCCTCGCGATTGCCCTCCTCGTCGAGCTCGCTGTATCTCGAATTGTCGGCGGTGTTCTCCTCTGTAACAGGCGGGTAGTTCGCGGATTACGTCGAGCGGCACTCGAAAGAGCCGGAGCTTCCTCTCTCTCTCCCCTCCCTCTCCGTTTCTCTCTTTCTCTCGTTTTCTTCGTTCACTTTAACCTTCTCTTTCCTATTTTTCTCTTCTACCGTGCTTAGTGCGTTCTTCGCGTTACTTGTAAATGCGCGCATATAAGCCGCATGATTATCTCCCTCTCTCTCTCTTTTTTTTCTATCACTCGCTTCTTCTATCCGTTTTTTCTCTTCTTTCCGTATTTAAATGTATTACGCTGAATGTCCCGATTAATGACAAAATAATCGTGAAAGTCACGAATGAATTATTGTAACAATACACGTGTTAAGTACATAACATACACTTATTTTGTTCGACAGTTTAAACGTTTGAGATTCTAATTGTATTGCATTTTTTTTCCCCTAATTTATGGTAAAATTTTAATTAATTTATAATATGCTTTCAAAAGGGTGACGGGAGTACCGTTTAGTAGTATACTGCAAGCCTCCGGAAAAATTATGTTGAATGAGAAATATTCCGGTGAAGTAGCTATTCATGAATTAAATTTTAATTCTTGCCCATCGGCGATCTTCGACGAAAACACACTCACTCACGAGGTGCGCTTGAGAGAGTCGTCATATTAAATTAAAAATGTAATGTGCGGTATTCCTCGTGTTCAGCCGAGCCGAAACTCTGCTGCCTTCCACTTTAACTCTCCGACGTCTGCGAATTCTAATTTACGTGAGAATTGAACTGCTACTTTGCGACCCGAACAAGTGGTAAACGGATAATTTCCTCCTTCGGAGGTTCAAAAGCAAAGCTTCGCCGAGAGAAAAAATGAATATTCAAACCCGAGCGGAATTTACGAGCATTAACCTCCTCAAGAACAAGTCCACGAAGTCGGGAAAAATGATTTAATTTCAAAGCGACGCAAACACGATAACTGTCAATCGTGCGACGAGACACTTCTCTTTCTCATCTCAATTTCTTTCGGGAGCATCCAAGTCGAAATTTTGATGTTATTCTGACGCTTTCAAGGATAGTTTGCATTTATTTAGACGGCCCATAGACTAATAAAAGTCTACTTGAGCGATACTGGCATTTTTTAACTTCTCTCTTGAACTTTTAATTCTACAAATTGAATTTTAATTTTACAAATTGAATTTTATGCTACCTTTTGACGTGAAAATGGAGATTTTAAACGTCATCAAGGTCAAAGTAGAGATCACATCACAATATTAGAACTGAAATTGAACCTATTTTGCTATCTTAGCTTCTACTATGCTGTAGATCTAAAGTTAAACAAAAAAAGTTTAACATAGAACCAAAATTTCGACTTGGGAAATCCCGCGGTGAACACCTACCCACAGTAATGCTCGTCATATCTCCCTCATACCGAAAACAAAGTACATAAGATTTTGTGGGATATTAGATTTATTTCACAAAATAAGATTTGTTGTTTTCTGTGAAATAAACTATACACACCACAGATAAATTCTTAAGAACTCAGTGCAAGAACGTTTGAGTTTTAAGAAACCGGACGCATCCGTTTCAAGCATCAAAGTGAACGTCGATTTGTAAACATTGAAAAATCACGCTCTCAAGCGAAGGAGAAAAATCTCGATTCAAGCGGACGCGTTTGATCTATGCGTCTTATGACGCTTCAACTTCGGACGAGTGTCGACCCGCCGGAAAATCCGGATATCCCGCGTACGCGATTCATCTCCCCTTCTCTCTCTCTCTCTCTCTCTCTTTCGCGAGCGGGCGAACTTTTGACGGGTCGGGACCGCGATGGAAATTCGCCGAACGTAGGCGGCGGCCGAGACTCACCGAGGTTCTGCATGATCTCTTGCTGCTGATTTCTCTCCTGCGCCAGATTCCTATCCGGGTACTCGCCGTAGACCTTCTCCGTGTCGTTGCTCTCGTAGTAGCAGATGAGCCTTTCCAGCAAGCTCCTCATCTGAATGTTCCTCGTCTCGTTCCGCAAGCCCCAGATCCAGGTGAGCGAGCAATCGCAGTACAGCTTGTTGTCTGCAAGTAGACACGGACGCGCGCTGGTCAGACGGAGAGTCTCGTTTACGAAACGCTTCGTGTCGGAACGCACGCGTTCCCGCCACCTTGTTATTGTTATTTATGATTCATCATTGCTGAGCAATAATTTGGCGAGAACGCATGACATCCCCTCCCCTCCCCCTTTGGAAAAATAATATATAATAAATATTGTATAATGGAAAATTATATAATGGGAATCTTCCTCGTGAATAAATCAATTAATTAATATTACGTTTGCACACGTGCCGTGTGTTTGCTCCACGTGAGATAATCAGACTTGAATTTACAGTTAAATCTGAAATTTATAGTTTCATTATCAATTTCACGACGCGCATGGGTATTATGTATATGACAATCGAGATTCTACGGAAAAATTCAGATCTAACTCGGAATTCCAATCTGAGTATCTCACTTGATGCAAGTTTTAAGTGATGGCTATTAATGCAAGCCTGAATATTTCATTTGAGGCAAGTTTCAAATAAGGACTATCAAATAGGGGTCCGACAATATTACGAGAAATATCAAAACATCGTATCTTCATCGTTCTTCCTGCACGAACTCGAAATCCCCTTCTCTCTCTCTCTCTCTCTCTCTCTCGAGTAACTAGTGTACTTTTGGCTGCGTTAACTAATTTTCGCGGAGTTCCCGGCAACACGGTTGCACGGTGGGAAAATTTTCGTTTCACCGTACGTTCGGTGCGCCGTTCGTTTGTCGACCCGGACGATCGCATTCGGCTTTTCGTGCATCTCCAAAACTCGAATTCGATGGTAACGACAGAGAGAGAGAGAGTGAGCGAAATAATGATAGACAGAAAGGGGATGGATGGAATAATCACTTTTCTGACTGGAAAATTTGCGTTTCGTGTTTCGGCCGGTGATGTAATTTGCGCAAATTGCCTTTTCCAAAGCGCTCTCAACTTTGCGCGCTTTATGCGCGGAGTCAAATGCAATTTCTGCGAATGACGGCGAATACAGAGGAGGACGCGAGGGCATTGACGAATCGCACTCGAAACGCCAGGCACCAACCGGCGAGCCCGTTCGCTCGCCCCCCGGCAGCGGCATTATTTTTTTTATCATTATCTTGTAATGAAATTGCGATCGCGGCTATCATTAACGTAATTACGAGTCGTTCGCGTTTCGCGTGACGCTCGCGTTTCCGCGTTTTCGTGCGTCCACGCGATCGAGCGCGCTCTCGAATCGCGTCGATACTTTCGCGCGTTTCAAATTGATACTTTTATATGTAACATCGAGCCCGGCTGCGTAGCACATTCGCGGGGATATTCGACGCGGCGTTGGGTGAAACGCCGGCGAATTTTCGCCGATTTCGGCACTATTCGACGAGATTTACTGGCAACGACACCGGGAGGACACGCATGAGGCGGGCATTTTATTTCGATTAACGAGGGTACGGTGTGGAAGTGTCCCTCTTAGATTTTAACGAGCCTTGAAAGAAATGCGCGCGGTATTTGCAATTGCAGTAGCGCACAGTGCGAGAATTATCGTCGGGGGAACTATTCCTTCCTTCTCGCAGTGAGTCTTATTACAGTGTCGACGACAGCAATCTCTCATATTTATCTTACTACATCAACAAATGGCGCGGTGAAGAAATCTAAATTCAAAAACAACGAAGGAAATCACGGTTATGAGAAGCATCGAGAGACACCACGGGAGAAATTTGCCTCGGTATCGTTCGACGTGCCGGCTTCGGAAATGTACACTCGAACGAATCAATTCCACCGAGCCACCTCGGGCGGGCTCGTTTCGACCGCCGGATGTGCACACAACGCACTCGGAGCCGGTCAAAGCCGACGAGGGCCACTCGCGCCGCATCGCTTCCGTTTCCCCCGTAAGAACGGCCCCCGGGAAGGCTCCACCCCGCGATGAAGGGCTCCTCGAGAGCTCGGCGGAAGTGCGCGAGTTTCGCAACGCGTGGCGAAAATTGTGTTTAACGGTGTCTTGGGAGCGCGCCGGGGCGAAAGTTCCGCGGCTCAATTATTCAAAGCGCGAGCGGCCCCGGCAGACGGAACCCTTCCCCTCCCCTCCCCCCGGCCACCTGCGAGTGACCATTTTAATTAATCGTTTAATAATACAACGCGGGGTGCAGGGAAGCTCGTCGTTGCGCCGCGGAATGCCCGGCCATCCCCGGTGACCCTCAGAAATTCATGCGATTGCGGCGTGTCGTTCCGTTACCTCGCTACTTCGATCCTCCCCCCNCCCCCCCCCCCCCCTCTTCCCAGCCCCGCTCGAAAGAGAGAGAAAGACAGGGCCTTCTCACTCTTTCTCTCTCGTTCTCGCTGTCCCTCTCTCTTTTTCCAGCGCCGCAGTGCATTCCCCGTTTTCTTCATCGTCGCTTAGTTCGATCATCGGTCGAGCATCGTTCGCACGAAACCGATGGAGAGAGATAAAAGAAAAAAGAAGAAGAGGAGGAGGAAAGAGGAGAGGGCGATTTGTACCGCATGATATCCTATTGTGTGAAATAAATGAAAAAGGCGGCATCGATAGAAAATCGCAATGAAAAGAGTTCAGGATATTCCTTCTCCCACTAATCCCCCTTTCTCTCTCTCTCTCTCTCTCTCTATCTCTCTATCTCCCTTGCTCTCTCCTTCTCGGGGAATTTTGTTTCCTCTCCTCATCGCGGCCATATCCCGGCCTAATAAAACACCCGTGACCGGGCGCAACGGATCGGAAAGTTAATTCTCGATTATCCGCGGCACTTAATGGCCGCTCAGTCATCGATCGTCGGCCGCGAACGATCCTCTTATCGGGCAGTTATCAGCGGCGGCCCCTCTCAATAGTCTCGATATCGCTGAATCCCGCGAGATTTCTCGCCGAGAAGGAACAGGACGGAGGAGGAGGAAAGGAAGCGGAAGAGCGCGCGAATCGCGCGCGCGATCCGAACGGGGCCGCCGATGTTTTTCGTATCGCGCGCGGATCGCATATCGAGGAGCTATCGCCGATGGTATCGAGATGAAAGAGAATAAATAGCGCTCCCCGCCTTTATATCGGGGCGTCTCGGAAAAGCGAGGCGCGCTCGCGCACACACGCGTGCGCGTACACGTACACACGGACGCACATTCGCGGCCGGCGCGGCTGAAAGTTTTCCGATGTCCCTCCGGAGCCGCTTCTTCCCCGGCTCGAAATCGAACGAGAGACGACGCGCCGATACGCGCGATATATGTATCTCACGGAGAATCGGGCGGCACGCCAATAATCTTTCCAACTGTACTTAAAAGATGTATCAGCCATAACTCAGGATAATGAAAAAGCCGCGGGAATTTTACAAATGTTTGGTCTACATCGCGTTTAAAACTGACACCGAGAGTGATGCAGAGCGGCAGAGATTGATGGTGATTCGGAGCCTCGATGAAAAGTTTTACTTCACGAAAGAAGGTGGTAAGGTGAAATGAGTTTGATAAGAATCCGATGAGACTTGCACTGCGTACACATTGAAATAATATCCAACTCGTTGCTCGTGCAGTTAGAGAAAGATTTACCCGAGAGCTGAGATATTTGTAACTAAAGTTGACACTTTTTACGTGGCCCTTAAGTTTAGGGTTATTTTTAATTTCTATTTTTAATATCTTCTAAGCTGTGAAAATGAGATTTTAATGAAAAACTACTATCACATTAGTATACAGATATTATACACAAATTTCAGAGTTATTGACTATTTTGTCTTGAAAATACAGCGATGTAATAATAACTTATAGTAATATTCGATAAATAATAAATAATAACTTAGAGTAATATTCGATATATATGTACACGTATATTTAAACCTTTATATATCCCTTCCTATCATCTATGCGTCTCAACTGATGCATAAATATACAGTATTGAAAAAGTTCTTGAAAGTAATAGCATTTTTTATGGTAAATTTAAGAATTTCATATTAAAATTGGTAATATTGGAGATTTTCATAATATCATAACGGTGTTGTCAATCATAAAATAATTATGATATTTCATATTTACTACGAAATCAAAGGAGAAATATGAAATTTAACATTTCTCCGTCTTGTATTACATAATTTGCTGTCATTTTCATATTCAGTTATAACACATTATAATATATTAGAGCTATTCCAATATTTAATAATGCACAATACGATTGTTAAAATATGTACGTAAATATGTATGTAAAATATCTACAGGATTTGATGACGGTATACACTGTTAGTTGTAAATATTAGCGGAATACATGAATTGTGATGTATTTCACTAATATATTCATTCACTAAATTCCGTACTTGAAATTATTACAGCATCATTATGAAAAGTCGATTTAGAATGTCTTTTCATAATTATTAGTTATTAAATGTACTATCAATTTGGTCATTAAATATAATATCAATTTGGTTATTATTAATTGTCACAACTTAGTTATGTAAAATAACTTCACAATTGAATCATGAACTTTTTCCAACGGCATTAATAAGAAAGATAAAAAAATAATATTTTTGTAAAATTGTACATATATGTCCACCTTTTTTTTTTTAACTTCGTTTCAAATCGACATTTATTATTTAAGTAGTGAAATAAATGTAGGAACGTAATTTTGCTTGCATAAATGCAAAATTTATGAGTGACTCCTTTGATGCGCCACAAAAATACGACACTAACAGGTGATACATCCTTAACTCTTTCGGAAGCTTAGAGCTGCGTCGAGACGTCTCGTCTCGATAGTTCGCCGCGTGTCGAACTATCGTACTCGAGACGACGTTTCGTTTGGTTGGTCAGAATGTTCGGCTCGATTTCTCCGGCTTTCTTTCGACGGTAAATCACCGGTAAGCCTTTCACGACAGATTTATATACATGTTGACGAAAGATCTCTCAAACAACAGAGATTATCTAGCTAAATAAATAACCTGTTTTCATTGAACGCAATGAAATGAAAAATTCGTATTTAAGAACCAAACCGAACTTTTTGACGAATTCAGTATACATTTACGTATTGTAATAAAATTGAATGAATAATCCG